TGGAAAGAAATAATAACTTGTCGTTACTATTATCTTCATCATCATCATCATTTTTATTTCATTACCATCATTATTTCCAATATCACTACTCTATTGGAAACGTGCAGCTGATAACCAAACAATTCTCCAGAAGTGTCAACAACCACAGACACGTCCGAAACGAGGTTTAATTTGAACAAAAGATTCATACATTAAAGTACAACAAAGGCCGGTCAGAACTGAAATTTGACAATTTTTCGAATAATTTCAATTCAGTTTTGACAATTGCTTTCAAACTATTTCTATGTAAAACTTAAAACGTTTGCAACAAAAAGTATGGATTCAGATTTGAAATTAGTTTTTACATAGCCGCCATTTGTGAAAACAGGCTTGGAAAAGTCCCATTAAAAAATAAATAGTCTATTGTAAAATGTTGTCGAGTTCAAGTCGAAAATTTAAATGATGGAAGTGTTTCAAACATTATGGCAATTTACATACACCTGCTCTTTTTCCAATGTTCAATGTTTACAGAAAACCTGTGAGTCTTCCTAATAAGATCAAATAACTGGGTCTTTTTGATGGATATTAGCATACGTCATTTGTTCACAAAATTTAAGAGAACAAATAGGCATGCCATTTCTATAATATCGTTGATTCTCGAAAAAGATCGAAGAAAAAGGAAAAGATTGTAGCACAAGAAAATATTGGCGATGCACCACAGCCGACAAAGTCGAGAGAAGAACAGGGACAGAGGCTACCCAAACAAAGGACACACTGACGTTAATGGGTGTAACTTTGTAAACTTGGAATAAACTGAAAATCTAAATAACGTCTCTAGAAAAAGAGGCCTTCTGTCCTTGCATGTTTAAAAGCTTTAGGAAACTTCTAAATGCCACTTGAAATTTCCCCCTGGCAATTCTGCAGTTCCGGTTCGAGTAATTGAAAGCCTACGATTGTTGTCCGAATAGAAATGTTAATAGGGAGGACTGTAATGAATAATTTTAATAGTAAAGTAAGAGGAGGAAGCAGTAAAAGCACACACGAAATTGTATAAAGGCATTATTCATGAAGATAGAAGATAGATTAAAGCAGAAACAGAATTTTGCGCTACCTACAGCATCCGCATCATCTCGGGTAATCACTAAGCACTTCACGGCTTTCAGTCAATGTATACATACACCTGTACTTTATCAATAATGCATTGTGCTTACTATAAGGCTTTAACCGTATATTTGTTTCAAAGGAATAATCACGGAGATTAATCTCAGCAATTCGTGTCATACTGGAAAGTTCTGTTTGCCGGGTGGCGGCGTTTATGTTCTCATCAATATGAGCGAGTCAGTCAAGTGTAATATTCTTTAAATGTGAGTAAGAGGGCAACCCCAACTCGTTAAGAAGCTTCAAGAACTTCTCGCTTTCTTTTCAGCCTCTGAAAACCACATACTCCACGCTGGGAAAAACGGTAAATAACAAGACGGAAATTATTCTACCGTTTGACTACTGAGTATTTCATTAGGTCATTAAGTAACAGCTTACACTGCAGTTTCGACAAAATCGAACGTGAAATTGCTGAAAGAAACAGGATAATGAATGTGTGAAACTCGCAAGTAAGCTTAAATCTTAACCACTGCTTATCCATGATATTTAGCCACACTTATTTACATAATTAGTGATTTTGCGATTTGAATGGACTCTTGTTTTGTTTCTTGCGGTAGATAAGAAAAAAACAAAAACTAAAAAAAACAAAACAAAAAAAAAAACAAGAGAACTTAAGCTGGATGAAGTCCTTAAAGCCCTAATCGAGCAAACAAGCGAACTTAAAAATATTGTAATTTTATTATTTCTGCAGTACACCTGACCGACAAGAAACAGGAGAGGTTCCACAGAAAATCGTTCAAATTAGATTGATTGAGGCAAGGAAGAAATAAGTGATTAACATCACTAGAGATGACATATAACGACAATTTCTCTCCGCTACTAATCTTCTTTTTGTTATTTTACGGCACCGTTTTCATTGTTTCACTTGTGGGTAACATATGGGTTTTGGTGACATGTTATCGGAACTTAAAAAGAAATCAGTTTCCTTTAATGTGGTGCGTGGCCAACTTAGCATCTGCGGATCTTCTATTTACTTGTCTAACTCCTTTCAACGCCATTAGTGTTATGTGGCGATGGGTCGGCGGCAACGCAACATGCAAACTTCAAGGATTTCTCATCGAAACGAGTTATAGTTCTTCAATCACAACCCTTGTAGTTATAAGTTACCTTAGACTCAAAGCTGTAACAGATCCCTTCAATTCTAGGAGTGGAAGATTCTCGAGTAGAGAATATATGAAACTAGTTACCATCTGGTGTATTTGCCTGGTCATCTGCTTACCAATAGCACATATTTACAGAGTCGAACCCAACGAGGATGGCAAACTTGTGTGTGCCAACACAACATGGGGGAGCACTGGAAGGCAAATATACTACACTGTGCATGCAATAGTTTTCTTCGTTATTCCATTGACATATATGATTGTCACGCAACGAAAAATTTCTCGTTCTCTTCGAGCGAACATTGTTCCAATGCGCAACTCGCATATCATGAAATCAAACCAAAGACAAAAGAGAGTTGCTAAGACACTTGCAGCTCTATCTCTTGCTTTTTTTATGTGTTGGTCTTCATTTATGATTCTTAGAACGCTGATGTACTTTAACCTGGCTTCCCACGGCCTGGGTTGGAGAGCGGCTCAACTTATGGTATTTCTCAATACGGCGCTCGATCCTTTATTATACGGCTATTATGAGGGAAATTTTAAGTCTAAAGTGCGCAGCATTCTGCGATGCAATTACCAGAACAGGTTGAACTGCGCCGATTCCATCGCTTTGACAGCGTCTCACTCTGGCCACTCACTAGGTATTCGAGAGGCACATGCCACAGCCTCGAAAGACTGAACATGAAACAAAAATTACCTTTAAGTTAAAGAAAATCGTTATCATCGATAAGACTTAACTTTTTAAAAGAATACATTTAATGAAATACTTACCTGTATGTGTACCTGCATTTAAAGTAATTGAAATTGAAAATGGTTTAAAATGAAAAGTGGAAAAAATTCAAGCAAATTAGAACGAATGGCAAATTTATGTCTTTAATCGATGTCTTTGTAAAGGGAGAAGTAAAATGAAACAGACCGGTATTTGCGTTTTTGAAAAAAAGAGTTAATGATAAATGTTTGTATTAATCACTAAATTCCCTTAACCTTATGTGACCACGGCGGCAAGGATTAACCCCTTCATAGCATGTATTATATCAAACAGAAGGTAAAAAAAAGTTTTCAGGCTGTTTTCAGCATTTAAAAACGAACAACGGACATAAGAACAGAAGTGTGTGTGCGTGCGTGCGTGTGTGTGAGTGGGGAAGGGGGGTTTTCATACAATGTAAGATTAAATTGAAAAAAGAAAATCATCATCTAGCCTTTGGGGTAAAAATATACCAGTATACTAATGGTATTTGGTATAATTTTATGAAATAAATTCAATACGACCTTAGATTTTCGCGGAAGGCACTTTTTAACTGCCATGTGTACTCGATGAATATGTTGTGGAAAAAGCAAGCGAGAAAGACAGGATGAGTTTCCACAGCTACCCCTCTGAAAATTAGTGAACCGATTCCAGTTTAGCGAGTCTCAGCAGGTGAACACGTCAAACTCCATGAAAAAGGATAATCGTTCATACGTTATTCAGGTTCAGATGAAATGATAAAGTACATTTTGATACAAATCACAGTTTGGCATCAGCCAAATTTATAACAACTAGAGGCATAAACTTATCCACGACAAAATTTTCAGTCTTACAAGGTACTTGCGGCTTGAACTTCGTCAGGGAAAAAATACAAACGTGCATATTGACATGCGTGGCTAATAGTATTTCGGAAACTTAAACTCTCTTTTTAACAGTTTTTTGTCGCAGTTTTCGAGTTTTAATCAATTTTTGAATCGAAGTTTCGACCACACTCGATACTTTCCCGCTATTAGCCCAGATGAAAGCGATTTTGTAATCAATTTTCACTGTTCTTTTCCCCCAGCATAAAATCTGTGTTTTACATCAATCACCATGTTCAGTTACCGTGTCTCCAATTTTCAAAGAATTTTTTACTTCCTCGGTTACCAGGGCGAACTCCTGCGAGGATGGTCGCGATATCTTGCCAAATCTGTCTATGACTCTCTCTCTTTCGCAATCCCTTCTAACCTTGCGCACTCATCGACTTTCAGGGGGTGGGGGGGGGGGGAAGACAAACAAGAATAACTGACCTGTCCCTTAAGAGAAAGATAGAGGGCGTTCAAAAGAGGCGGCCGTTGCTGGAAATTCTGCCAGAAAAGTAAAACTACGAGTTTGTGAACTACGAACCATGGAACATTGCCCACGAGCCGTGAACAGCCGGCAACCACGAATCACGAACCACAGACTATGGACCACAAACTGTAGCTGTACAACCTACTAAACACAAACCTCGGGCAATCTATACCTGACACTACGGACTAAGAGATATCGGACTTCAAGTTGCGGTCTTCTGACCACAGACCATATACTTCGGGACATGGAACACAGACTACAAACCTCGGACTCCGAACTACGATTGTAAATGAGCCCTTGTAGTCAATCTAAAAGGACACACGAAGATGTACATGATTACTTGTATTTGAACTTTTCTTCCCTCTCACAAAGCTCTTTCCTGAGTCTGTTTCACGACATACTTCAATGACAAACAGTAAACGATAATACAATACTGAGGTGCAATCTAGCATCAGCAAGACATTGGCTAAATAGTGTTTCACAAACGACCCAATATTATTCTGCCATGATTCAACTCGTTTATTTTTAATTTTTTACCCATTGACTTTATGTTTTGACATAAAACTTTGTAACTTTAAAATTGTATATTGTAAGGACCACACAAACAGAGAGATTTTAGGTTTCATTTCTTACTCCTTAATAAATTAATCATATATTATTCGTTAATACCCACTGGTGATTCAATATTTTAACTCCAGTGCTCACAATAATGCATTTGACGAAATATGACAGGTCGTGCATATTAACTTTTTTTTTTCTGCGTATCTGCATAAGCTGTTAAATTAATCCATTAACCACAAGCACTCGCAGAGGCTTTTGGAATGACATAAAAGCCAAAGGTCAGAGGTGGAAGATTGAGGGGTTCGTCTCCCGGCACACTTTTCGGCGCGAGGTCTGGGAGCGTGCGGTCATCCACTAGTTTGAGAACTTTACCGTTAAGCTTGACGGTCCTGTTTCAAAAGTAAGCATCGTTGTATTTGTTTGTTTGTTTGTTTTTGCTTTTTCTTTGAGTCTTAACAGGAAAATAATCAGAAACATTCTTTTTGTTGTTGTCTTTTTTACGATAAAAAGAGAACCGACTCAAAAATAAAATACTTTCTGGGACGAAGACGTTACAGTGATATACTGGTCTGAATCAGTCGAAGCATTTGAGAGAAAGTTCTCAAACAGCAGCACTTGTAATTAAGGGGAGAAAGATGTCAATTGATCTTTTATCAATTCAATGGCATGATTCGAAATTCCTACTCTTTGTTGGGCTATGTATCGTGTTTTGTTCATGGACATGGCGGGAAGGTGGTCGAACAACAAGGCATCGAGCGAGGAGCAAAGAAGAAATCTTAACCTCCTTCGAGAAATTCAGCCTGAGGCTTGCAGATTCCGTGCTCCGATACTCTACCACTGTGCCACAGACAACTCAGTGGTGAGATATTGTCATTACTGAGTTCATCTAGTGTGTGTCACGTGTTCTGTATACTGCTTTGCTTTACAGCAGCATATGACACCTGACTATAACTTGAACATCAACTGGTGTGTTGACGTCTGTCTCTCATAAGGTACCATTTCATATCGCATTTCAAAGCACAGGTGAGTAACTAAGTAACTTTCTTATCAACCATTTCATTAATTTATGCCATGGATGAGAGGACTGAGTTTCAGCAAGTTAATTCTAACATGATTTTACTTACTTTGTCAATAGGTCGCCGTTCTCAGGAGTAAGAAGATATACGTCGACATCTTTTCCTTTAAGTTCACCGTTGAGTTTCAGGACGACTGGCGTATCCAAGAGGACATTGAGAGCAAGAAGCGTGACAGAACCCAATGGATACTGACTGCGCAAAAAGAAAATTCACAAACTTAGTCACCAAGCCAAGCAAAATAAATTAACAATAGTATACATATAAGGCTGAATTACGCACGCATTTTTCTACTTGTGATTTACTGGGGGACAGACACATAGATGCAAGAATCTCCTCTGCAGCGAGGTCACCATGGTAACCAAGCCACAGCCTTGCTCCAGGCACCTGTTGACACAACACTGGAATGAAAGCAAACCCAAAATTAGCGAGGGAGGGAGGAGAAATAAAGCAAGCAAAGGACCAAAGCTAGCCATGAAAAAGCACATAGCATTGCCCTACAAACCCATCGTGGACTTCATACATCCCATCAGTGAAATCGCTACATTGGCTTGGTTTTATTTTCAATTAAGTGTCAAAGGTTTTCTGAGATTTCTCTTGTTTTGCTTTGCTTTGGTTTGCTGTGTGGCTGGTTTCAAAAAAGTCGCACCACAATCTCAACCAATCAGATTCATGCTAAAAAAATCGTATTTTGTGGCTTGCTTTTCCTATAGTATGCGTGTTCTAATTTTAGATCTCATTAGCCGCTTGCAATATCATCCCTAAATCTGATTGGCCGTTTTGTTTACGCTGGTTTTAGTTCCATGACACTCAATCGTAATTTGTTCTGATCTTCGCTTGTTTAAATTGCACTTCGTCTCAAACTATTATTAATGTAAGGCAAACGAAACCTTGAAATACCTGCTTGAGCAATGGGCGTACACTCGAACCTTTCGTTTCTCTTCTGTCTGACCACTCACGTCCAGCACCTTCTCTCCAACAAGACGTTTGTGTAAAAGAGAGAGCCAGTAGTCCTAAAGACAAGAAAAATTAAAACTTAATGCGAGTTCCCTTTGTTCATATCATACAATCACAAGCCAGAGGGAAGTGGAATAGTAGAGGAGAGAATAAGAGAAGGGAGTAGACGAGAAAAGATAAGGCAAAACGAGACCACAGGCGGCCCAAGCTCATGTCTCGAGAAAAAGCCAACCATTAACTCATGAGAGCGGCGGGAATTACCAGAAACCACAGCAGACACAAAAGATGAGAGTAAGTGCTATTGATTTTACGTGTAAAATGTTCATATTTCGAAATGTTTATCATTGTAAATCGACCATATTTCGTTCCCTATACTTTTCCTTATAACGTGTTCAAATTCTCAACGTAACTTAACACAGAGTCACACAACGCGTGACACTTTCATGATTAATCGTTTGCTTTTTCTCGAGACGTGAGCTCGGGCCGTCTGTGACGAGACCAGAAACGAGACGACAGTGACTTCCCAGGCACAGAACCGCCTGTTTATAAAAAAGATAAGCACTGAATAAGTCAGTAAAGCGGGCAGATGAGCGAAGTCAGCAAGTGGATTTAATCAGAACTTTTTCAATGTATCGATGCTACCTCTATTTTTTGGTTAAATTTGCTCCATTAAATCATCGACACGTATGCTGCACTAAATTTTATCACTCGGTGAACTCAATTCACGTTGAGCGTATTGTCGTTCGTAAACGCGGATGAAAATGTGGCAAAACGATGTTATGTTTATTTTTTCTTCAAAATCCTCTGTTGCTATGGAATAAACCTATTAAGGCTAAACTCCAGCCTTCGTGGAAATTTTCCGTCGGCAAGCAAGCAAGGAAAGCTGCTGCGGAAAATAAACAAACAGGTACTTTTGAGCCTTGCCATATCGTATTCATACCAGGAACATACCGGATTTGGATCCAGATCGTCATCTAATAAAGAGTAGTTTCCTTTAACAAACGTCTGTCGCACAACCACCTCATGTTTAAACCGAGCTGCCAGACCTAGCTTGTCTAGCCACCTTGAAAACAAAGACAAAGAAATCATGTTCCATCAAACGACAACACAGGAAAACAAACTACATAAGAAAAAATAACCTTTCTCGACCAGGGAATTGCCCAAACATGATTTTGGTATGATTCTTTTAGGGGGAAGGTCATCAAAAAAAATTAATCGTTCAAGATACATGTAGGATGGTCTATACGGCTTGCTAAATTGAAAAGTTTGTTTGAATTGAAATCTTACCCCTCTACCTTAACTCAGAGATAAACAGTGCGTAATAAATAACAGTTACTAACCTCGTCAACTCTGTCCATACTATGAGTTTCGGAACCTCGTTTCTTCCGCTTGGATTTATAGCCCTCGCGCTTCGCGCTAGAGACATACATATCCGAGAGGAAAAAATTCAGTCCGTAACTTACAACACGGACCTCGAACTCGGTAAGTAAGAGACATATGGAGTAAAGGGACAGGTGACCTGCACGATAGCCACAAGTGATCTCGATAAATAAATATATATTTAGTATAATTGCAGCGATTATTATAGAGATGCGCGCGCTCCGATTGGTCGAGGATTCCGCCATATCTCGCTATAATCACCTCCCGCGAGGAAAAAAGCCTTGTCTTATATTTTGTTAAAGTTGAGCTGGAAGTGATTAACGCGATGGAACAACTATAGTTCTAATGAACAAAAATAATGCTACTAAAGTTGGCATAATACTTTTCAATAAAAGAAAAAACGAGGTTTTGCTTAATAAATTAACTAAACCTGGTAAATAATAGTGGAAACTGGCTGCTTATCTCGATATGAGTGATCAAAACAACAGTGACAAGGTGGTATCAACAAACAAATGAATTTATAACAGAATTCAAGGGCACCTGAGCAATTATACTAAGACAATTATTCACCTCAGGCTAAGTGAATATTATACACTTAATGTATGATCCCAAGGGAAACAGTTAGTTTTGTTTTCCTGAGAGTCAAGAGGTTTCTTCAGGACTCAAGGGAAAACAAAACCGACTAGTTTCCCGAGGGACTATACATTAAGTGCTTTGTTATATACTTAGACTTTCCTTTAAACAATCATATGCTGCTGTATTCGGCGCGCAGGTAACAACTGCGCATTTGTATCACGGTCAGGATACATTTGACTTTGATCAGGGGCACGTGATCAACAATCAACCAATCTCAGTGCTTGTTTTGTTGAGTGAAAGTCTATGTATATAACAATGTGGAATAATCCCCTTGACTTTGTCTTGAGGATTATTCAACAATATTCACCTCACCTTCAGCAAATAATTGCTAAATAATAATCTCCCTGGCATTCCATGCTTCCTGAACATAAATCAGTGGAAGTTCCATTGTTTAAGGGAAGGGAAATTATCCAGTAATCCATTTAACACCTCAGAGTGATGAGCATCTTATATATCCCATAAGAATAACTCCTAAATCAAATAGTAAGGTCATAGGAATAAAGTAAATGATTGAAAACCCAAAGAAATAACCAACTTTATAACAATTTTTACAGCCAATCAAAATGAACAACTTACATAAATCCAGCCACATATCTGTCTGACAATCCACTTGCTCCTCCTCCATATGCACTGCTAGTTTCACCAAGCCACCGAGAAAATCCTGATTTTATTCCATCCAGTATCGAATTGGCTTCACTCACTTCATGCAAAAAGTAATCCAGGACCTCTGGATTGTAAAAGTCTTTCTCAGAGCATGTTCTTCCATTGACATAATACCTGTAACAGAAACACAGAGAGTTTATTTTCAGCATTAGTGTTGGCAAAGCCCATGAAACAAGTTAACATACATACTATGCAGTGAGAAATAGAAATTGATAATAATAAGTAATAAAATCATAACAGATTGCTGTGTGACTGCCAAGCACAGGGGCTAGATGAGGATCCTTGTTGCAATTTTGTTTTTGTTTTTGTTTGTAGAAAGAGAAGATTGTGAAAAATGTTCCACTTTCAAATCTTCTCCTGGAAACTGATTCCCCAGCCTTAGAAGCTGAAAAACAGGTATGAAGATCAAAGTCTGAATCCAGGAGTAAAGAAAATATAGCTGTATTGAAGCCCTTCTGCTCATTTCTGTGGCTCTACTGCCTTCTCTCTCATAAAATATACACAAAACCATTTGTCTTTTTTGACAAGGATTACTGAAATTTGCTAGTACAATGTTTACAGTACAATACTCAGTCTACTAACAACACTTCTGTTCATATGGTACTTATGTGTCCATCAATTCACATTTTAGCCTACCGAATTGCTTTAAAGGAAAATCAGTGCTTTTGGTATCCATTGTGTCCAGCCAGCCTCAGAACTAAACACCAGCCCCATGCCTGGTCAATCCCCCTAACACTATCAGATCACTGAAAAGAAAAACCATATGCATGGTGGGGGTGGGGTGGGGACAGAGACCCCTCAACATTAACTTTCCCATATTTTTCACTCTATTTACCCTAACTCAGCACTGCACACTCATTGCCTACCTACCATCAACCCTTTGAGCACTAAGTTTGACTCCTAAGAGCATCTAACTTCTCCTTTCAATATCACAACTGAATCACTCATGAAGGTTGAGAGAGTAAAGAAGCTTTCAATTTTTTGTTTGTTATTGCTTTATTTTGTTTCATTGGGCAGAAGAGAAAGGGAATCTCATTGGTGACAAAATATAATACTGTCATACAACCCTAAATAGAATAAATGGAAATTACTTACTGATGCCAGGTAACTGCATCTATGACATCCTTGGCATGGGTAAAAAAGCTAAAATTTTGAGAGATGCATTGTTACACTTCGAACAAAAGCCTCCATTTACATCAAAATGCAATAAATCACTGACAATAAAAATAAATTTATATACAGTGCTGATTTTTATTTAAGCAAACATGAGCTTTTTCAAAGTGCAAGTTGTCCTCATAACAGCAGTGGAGTTATATTTTTGCAATGCATACAGCTGAGTGCAACTGTACCTCCTCAAAAAGCTTCCTGTTTTTTCAGATGTTACTGTTGCCATGTCAGGTCCAACTAAGTAGTTACCAAACTGAGGACTGCCCTCAAGTATTGCTCTTAAAGTGTGAAAGTCTTCAGCAAGTTCCTCTGAGGAAATGGACCTACCAAACCTCCAAAAAAGGTCAGGCTCTAGTAATAAAAATAAACTCTATTATGTTTGTACTGTTTAATATTGACTGCAGTGATTACCTCTCCAAATAGATGCCACTTTTTGAGTGATTTAATATGCGTGTTACATCAGGACCAACAAGAAAGTTGCCAAACTCAGGATTGCTTTTAAGTATTTCTCTGAGTGTGGTAAAGTCTGCTGTCAATTCTTCAGGTGAAATAGACTTGTTAAATTTCTTAAACAAGTTTGGCTCTGAGGAAGAAAAGCATGCATATAAAAAAGCCACTTTGAAGGTTTGATTATAGTCAAAGACACCCACATGCTTAAGGTATATGACTTGTACTAATGAGTATTTTGTGGCATTTAGATCTGATTAGATTACATTTTAATAATTACATTGATTCAGCCAACTAAATCTCATTTGCTACAACTGACACTAACAAAAATAATGAATATCTATTAATCATAAATATTCCATACCATTCCCAAGCTCCCATCCAAAGTGATATCCATGATCTGCAACATATTGCATGATTTCTTTTGCATTGCTTGCATTCCAAGATCCATCTTTTCCCCTTAAAAACACATTCAAGCCAAACATGACGTCCCAGTCAGCTTTTGATGACAAAAGGTGTATCTTGTCCAAATCTGCATGTGAGATTGTAAAATTGCTAAAATTTTGGAACGTCTGGAAGTCTTTTGAGTCATCATAGATTAAGAAATCTTCTGAAGTTCCTCCAACCCGGAGAAATGCTGGAGAGAGACCTTTAGCAAGCGTATACAGCTTCTCCGAGGTAAAGTTTACGTACGGTGACCAGTGATGCCTCAAGATACCAGAGTCAATGGCAACGGAGAGAAACTTTTCGTTCACAGTGAACACAGCGCGATCCAAATTTATCGAGACATTGTGCTCTACCGCTTTCCTACCAAAAACAGTGAACTGGGATTTGGCTGAAAGCAAATACACACTCAGTATTAACACAACCACAACTAAACTTGATCTCGCCGAGAAGACAGGTGAAGCCATGCCTACGAATTCAAGCGAACGTTTGACAATGTCTGCGAGGTCTTCTTGATCTTTTGGATTATGTTGTCTCTCTGTTTAGTTCAATTTTCGAGGAACGCCTCCAGGTAGTCACAAATCGAAATATAAGCTTTCCCGTGACAAACCTCGTGACTCCATATTTCTCTGGCACACATCATTTTCGCCAGGCGTTCAACTTGAAATGGAGGCTCTCCCCAGTTGGCCCTCCGTCTTGACGGAATCACCAAATATTTACTCCGGACTCTGGACTTTAGAACACGGAATTCAGAGCAATGCACACAGTTTTTTCCTAAAAACTACGATTTACGAACTCAGCAATACAAACTAAGAATCAGGAACTTTGAAATTCTTTATTTGAATCCCACCCTCTTTGCTAGTGAAAATAATTTTACTGTGACCACTTTCCAAGATCATGAAAGACAGTGACTTCCTTTCTAACAACTCGTACAAATAATCACTCTAAGTTTAATTTGCGGTATTCGTTTTTTGAGAGGCAAAATATTTGACGCTTCCCTGTCGAATTAGCTTTTCCCTTCCCCCTCCCCAGTAAAACCATTTCACCCTTACACGATCTATCAACTTCGTTATATCTCATTGCATGCACTAAGGGCCCCTACTTGAGTTTAATTTGATACTTTGCTAAAAGAGGGTGGTAATTAACTGGAACCAGTAGTCCATTACTGTAATGGGCTCCTGGTGGAACTGATATCTAATTCTTGTGGATTGATATGTCTGGGAGTTTCAAAACTCTGGTCTCCGATGGAAGTGATGAAAAATGCTTTCTTTTTCTTGTCAAAATGATCAATACTTACGATTCCTATAAATGTAACCTTTAGATTACAGTGTGTTTTTGTATTTGATAGGGAAGGTACAGACCCTCGAATGCCAAATATAGAAATTATCATTTATGATGGATTTGGCGGAAAGAACCGAGATGGCTCTTGCAAATGAAGCCACAAACGACATCAACTGGCGCGAATCAGATTATGCAAAAGACGGAAGCAGTACGTTTAAGATAATTCCAGTTTTCGACTACTCAGCTAGATTAAAAAACAAACCAAAACAAAACAAAAATTCCAGCGACTCACATTAAAAGATCAATGAGCAGCCCGACAAAAATCTGTATGGTCTGCAGATAATATCTGTTTCCCACACTGAACTCGATTATTTCTCTCAAATATCTTTCATCAGGTAGATAACGATGTTATTATAGGGCTTTGGGTTATGATGAAAGAATGGTAAATGATTGAAAAGCTCGATAACGCAGTCAACAAGCAGTTGGCCTAATTGCACACTGGAGAATTATGAAGAGGGCGATCAAATATATCATGAGGCAGAATGCCAGTAATTGTCTGTTAGGGACCCGTTTTTCTTTCTTGGCTGGGGGGGGGGGGGGTGGTGGGGAGGGGGCAAGGAGGATTTTAAAGGATCACATGGTTTTCCGGAAGAACGGAGGAATATCAGTCGTCACTGACAGAGTACTGAGGGGACTACAGAAAATTGACTGCCTATGAGTGGGGTGAGTGGGGATCATTAGAATAATACAGAGCCATATGGGAGTATCAGGTTTATTTACTCTGTCACAACCAAAATCATCCGGCCCCCCAACCCCCCCCCCCCCTCGTGATAAATAATGAGTGGTGGCTTCCTGAACTGGCTGGTCATAGTAAAGTGTAATAACAAAGATCTCAAGGGAGGTAAAGGGACGAAATGTTACTGAATACATTTTTTGTCTTTCTTGTCGTTTATATAATCACTTGGAGAGCCACCCATGAACTAAAAAGCTTTTATAGTTTAAGCCTGACATTTTAAAGGACACCAGTGATCTAACGCAGCCGCTCGTTTTAGGCATTTTAGCGACAATACTTCTACATGTTTGTTTGCCCGAATTTATTTGATAAAACAGCCCAAAGACAAGTGATATCAAAGAAAAAATCGCATTTACAAGATCTATCTCGGAAGAGTCGGTACGTGCCTGAAATATCTTGAGATAATGATAACAACGTTGACTGAGGATATATTTGACATTTCACCAACGAAAAAATATTGACCCGGATTAAGAGAGCTTAAGTTTATAGTCTAGTGTTAAGTTGCATGAAAACGGATAAGGTTATGGAGCGGATGTAGTTCTAACTATTACAATATTTCTCCTTTTTGTACTAGCTCTTTGACGTCAAGGGCAAACCGTTGGCGTTGTAAACTTACAAACTTGCTTCTTACTATAAAGAAGAGTTCTTACACACGTTAAAATTTAATCCCCGTCATTTGACGTTTGTGTGACTCCGATAAACGCCGTAGAGTTCTCGGAAAAGCGGAACTCCAGGACGCGAAAAGGAAAAGCAAATCATTAAACGGTGAGTTTTATGAACATTTCGTAATTCTCTAATTCAGTTTGATTTTGTATAACGGAAGTCGTTCTCATTCTGTTGCAACCAGATTCTGTACGAGCGAACAGAAATGAACTTGATGATCTCGGTAATCGCTTGGTCAAGTTCTGCACGTGTTCTGGATCAAATTCTAACAAGTTTCCGATCATTTTTGTTATATGTCCATACCGTACTCTTAATTTAGTAGAAGAGTCATGAAGAATTCCAAATTTGCCTTGAAATTCTCGCCTGGTTAATAATTTTAAAATACACATTAAGGGAACCCAACAAAATGTTTCTAAATGACATTGTATATTCATTTTCAAGAGGCAAGTACACATAGCCATATTTTTCATCCTCAAAAATTTCCTCTTTACAAAAGTGTTATTAAAAATATGGTTGACTTCGTCAAAGACCGAAGCCTTTGACAGCTGTGTTTATGAGACAAAAAGTGCTCTCTTTGGCTCGCTTTCGTTGGAGGAGTTTCATTTGAAAACAAAAAGAGAGATTTGGGAAAATTCCAAGTTATGTGTTTCGTTCATTTTTTTTTCATCACTCACCATCACATTCCTCAGTCTAAAAGCCTCTCACGTCAAGTCACAAAGTGCGCCGATGAAGCCGTAATTACTTTAATGGCCTGTAGCCGCAACCTTATCATAGAAGGATTTGATTCAAGTCGCTTAAGATTGCTGTAGGCTGAGATAGCAATAGCGTACACGAACAAACATAATTTCTGGACGGCATACTTTCCTGTCCCATTCTCGTTGTTTACATTATAACATCCAATCAAAGCGCGTTTTATACAACCAAACACTCGTGGTGGTGATTAACACGCTGTACATAATGCACTTATCTCCTTCCTAATTTTTAAAACCATCCTTCTAATAAGTGCAGTCCTTTTAATTTCCAAGAATAAATCTTCTTTAGAAACCTTTTCATCCGCCCCACGCCATTCCCTTTGCCCACATCATAGCTGTTACAACAATATCATTGATAATCATTAATTCAGACTGAATATTGTAGGATGTACGGGATAATTATTAAAAGAGGTCTGATACGATATTCTGACCTACAGAGCATAAAATTAACTTTAACTTTAACCAAAATAAAATAACGCCAAATAGGCTCCTGTCAACGACCAACAAAGGATCAAAGGTTGAAAAGATCTAGACAGATTGCAAATGATAATATCACAACATTTTGATTGAAATTTTCAAGATACAAATGGCCGAGACATCGTGACGACACGTGATGTCTGCTCCTAGGAGAAGCCAACGGAAGAAGAGTAGAAATTAAGCAAAAGCAGATTGATATATATGGCTCGCAATCACCACAATTCGTCGTAAATTTGAAACTCCTGAAATCTTTGAAAATCTGTGAATTTTTCGTGCCCAAATGAACAGTTTCTAATTCTCTTAATTGCTCTTCACCGTGTCACGATGCGTGATGATCCCCACAGAGATTGGACCTCCATGTGACACTGCTCATAAATTCAAAAGCCCCCGCTCGTTTGTTATCTTCTCCTTCAACTTCCTTTCTTTAAACTTCTTCAATTGCATTACTTAGTTGAAACAGTTGATGTTCTAAACCTTGGATTAAGAGATTGTGGTCACGATTAAAATCACTCATCTTTTATAATGTAAACTATAAGCAAGGCTTTTTGTCGAAAATTTTGAGGAAATAGATAGCATCCTCCTCGTTAACGAAGTGTAACTTAAACATACGCGCTGGCGGCAAAAAATTTTTTTTCGTCTAGTAAAGATTAAAATCTGTTTTTATGAACAGAGCGCAATAAAAGGTCAATTTATATCTTGACGTCATAACCTAGGTAAACTCCGTTTCAGGAAAGTAAATCAAATAACCAATCAAAATAAGCGCATTTATGTAAGTCTCACCACAGTGTCATGTTGTTACTTTCATCAAGTGGCTGACGGGCATACAATCCGCAAAGCCTATCATCACCTTAAATTCTTCCAACACGGCCAAGAGAGTTTTTCGTTAAGATAATCTCGCTGTTATTATATTGACGCACGTTAATGTACTTGATCTTAAAAGCGTATTTTGCCCTCGTTTACATTTTTAAATCTTGTGACGCATCGCGTGTCAGGATGTGTTGTACTTTTATTAATTGTGTCAAGTTTGCGGACCGAACTGACACTTATGGACGGTACCCGACCAAAGCTTTATTGCTCTTTAGTTTAGCAAATGTCAGCCTTGTCACTGCCCAATGGCGCGGCTTGAGAAGGACTTTACTTTTCTTAAAAAAAAATTATTACTAAAAGCAAATTTAATGGTCTTAGTTAATAGCATAACCACTAATGAGTGGTTTGTGACATTCATTTCAGGATGCCGTGAAGACCCGGAGAGTTACGGATACAGGTCAGCAGCTTAAAGTTTCTCTTCATTTTGTTCATTGCGTTCTTCGATGAAAATAATCACCAGGTCAAAATTGGCGCTTACATTATTGTTTGATGATCTTTTTTGGGGTGTGAAAACATCAGGGATGAAAAATAACTATGAAATCATTCGGTTCGGTAGGCACAGAATACAAAATACCCACACGCCATATCGTGAAATTGTCTCACTGTCACAGAATTCCAAGTTATTTTTTTTTCATATTTGTTATTTTAATCCATTGAAGGAAAAAATTCATTTTATTCTGTATGAGCTTTTGGCAAGCACGTTTGATCGCGATTTACTCAGTTCTCGTAGCAAAGACGAAGCTTAGCGAGTTACATTTCTCTACTAATGAATTCTGTACGTAAGCCATGTGTTATACTTTTTTGTTTTCCGCCCAATACAAGACACATATCAATACTGAAGAGCGGATGGATTCGATCAAAACCTTTATATTTGAACTGCACTATCCATGTGCACTACTTTCTTTAAAAAGAACACCGTTTTCTACGGCAATTTTTTAATAACGACTCATTTTGTTAATTTTGCATTTTATAATAACGGTTGTGGGATTTTTCAATAACCTACGCATCTTATAATATGCATTGCTACATTTTTCAATAATCATCTTGATACGCAATTTGGAACAACACTTTGACGCAAATTGTAATTATCTCAACTTTGCCACTAAAACATACAGCACAGTGCAAAAGTAATGCACACGATCATCATCGATTGTCGCGCTTTGTTACTCTGAGATAATGCCGATATAGTTAAAAAGTTCTAAAAGTTAAGTTTTCTGTTCGTTGAATACAACTGCTTTATACCAAGTAAAAAACAAGTTTTGAAAAAGAAGAGCAGTTTCAAATCGTCATTCCTTCCTACTGACAGAACAATGATATCCCATGCCATAGGAATTACTTCTTCCGATGATTAATTCTAAATCTAAGACATCATTTTGGAGATGTAGTTTTCACGTTGATCAAGCTTTTGACCATTCTTTCCCAATGTTCGCTTTAAGAAAGCTTCAGAATCTCTTTTCTACTATCCGCGTACAAGAATTGCAAATCAACAATCCATCTAAGTAATTCCGACTCACTTTACGGGCGACAGTGCCTAAGTTTTGTTAAAGGATAGATCAAGTTTCCTCACTTCTATTGATGACTTAATGTTCTATAGTTTGTTCAGTTGTTTAACGTTCCATCTTCTAAACCATAAGCGACAATAAACCATACTTTAAATTTCTCAGAGAATGTTTAATCATTTACATCCTATATTTCTGAACCATCAAAGTGGATTGCCTTTTTAACTACGTATTTTTTTACATCTTGAGGAATAGATTTCATTAGAATGCTTTGGAGGCTCTATAGCGCTTTTACTCAATGTTGGCACGCGCGCAAGCGTTATTTTTTTCGAAAAATTTTTTTATGTTTTGGCATTTTAAGGTCACTGAAAGCCATCAGAAGGGTGATGACCAAGGTTCGGATTATCGTTTACTTTAGTGAATATTATCAAAATGATTTTCATTATTAAGCTCAGGCTCAACGAAGGGAGGCGCCCGTCAGCGATAATTCGGATTTGCTTTTGATTTTCTTCAATTTGCTTAGGTAAAATCTCACAAAATTTTCACAATTTGTGAAATTTGTCCTGCCTATCATTTTAAAGCCAAAAATTATAGGGGTTACCTAGGTAGTTTCCTTGCTATTTGCAATTTTGTGTTTTCGTCCTCTATCTCAAATTTTGTGTTATGAATTTTTTTTCATCAACAAGCTCTAAGAAGGGCACAGATATGTTTAACGGTCCATTAAATCTTAGGAAATTCCACCGAAGGAAACGTGATGAATCTTACTCGAAAGATCCCTATTTTATTTTGCGCAAAACATTACGTAATGTAATAGAACTTCGTCAAGATCAATATATGAGCATGCGTAAACTTTCGAATCTGTCGCCTTTTGGCAATCTTTCCCACGGTGTTTTCTTTTCGGTTGACCTCTTTTTCAGGGGTAGAAGGCCTATGAATATTACAGGTGCAGTTGCTAGAGACCCTAGATTCCATTACACAAAAACTGTATTGTTTTAAAATGTTTTAACACATCTTTTCAGTTAACAACCATGCGATCGTATCGAGCTTCCATGTTTGTTATGTATGTTTATACTATTAAAGCTCGCGCTATGTGCGTACTCAGTTCTCGAGCGGTCAAAATGGAAGAGGAAAAAATTAAAGCAAAAGGCAAAAACGGAAATTAGTATTTTTCTAAAAGCGCATTGCGAGAAGTTGATCTAAAAATAACAAAGTAGCGTCAACACTCCTCATCAAATTAGACTTTTGGCACGAAAGAAAAGAAAACTCTAAATCAAAAAGTTAACGTTTATTTGTATTACAGAAAGGTGATCAATAGATAGCGGCCGAGTATTGTTTAAACTTTTTTTTTTCACGTTTCCACACAGCTGTCTCTATGTAAGACGTGGGTTGATTTATCGCTACCGAGTATGAATTAGTTAATACGTTCAAACATTTTCCATTTCACTGACGCTCGATGGGTATTGAAAGCCCGATTTATGCTCAAGTATTTGTGATTTGTTAACGCCTGTCAAAGGGAAGGATCTAGGAAAGATTGTAGCTCTGATCGTACTTACGAAACAGAAGCTTCATGCAATCATACGGGCGAGTTATATCAACGAAAACTATGAATTGGCAATTCGGAATTTTTATTAATTTTTATCAAGTTTAGTTCTGTAGTTCTTTAGTTTGTAATCATACGGGCGAGTTATATCAACGAAAACTATGAATTGGCAATTCGGAATTTTTATTAATTTTTATCAAGTTTAGTTCTTCAAAATAGCTTACGCGGTACGTTTCGTTCGTTTAACCCTTTAACTCCCATGGGTGACCAAGACAGAATTTCTCCTTACAACATCAATACAATATCAACCAGATAAGTGATGAGAATAAAGAAAAATATCAATTGGGGGATGATTAGTTAATCCAATACTAAATTCTCTGAACTAAACTTCTAGGAATTGTTTGGTTGACAGTAAGGAGAATTATAAATTTGATCTGAGAGTAAAAGGGTTAACAGCAGTCTTAACGAACTTGTAAAATTAAAGAGAAAATCTCCTTGTGGCCAACTCCACGCCGTGAAGCATTTTTTGAGGTGAAAACACAGGTAAGAATTTGATCCACGTTCAATTTTTCTTATCGTTTCTGCCACCAGGAGGCAAATTAACTTCCTGTACAAAGGGGGTGCTGCGTCGGTGGGAGAGTATAGCAGGTAATTAAGTGTTAACAACAGAGTTGAAAACGTAAATTGGCCACCGTAAAATGTAAAAAAGCTGACGTTTCGAGCGTCAGTCCTTCGTCAGAGCGATTGGTACTTAAAAGTGCAGTAAATTGATAATTTACCGCACGTCAAAGATATTCTAGCCAAAATTGATTCATTCAGTAATCCTTTTCTTTTTTTAATCCTTTAAAATAAATTTTAAAAAAAATCACAAGCTTGAAATCGCAATGGAACTAGAGCATTCTCCACCGGCTTCCAAACGTTAGCTTTTCTGCGCGCAGGTTTACGGATGCTTTAAGGGATGAAGTAAAACACCTGTAGATCTAACTGCGGTTTGGTGGGTAAGTGGAAAATTTAACAAAGCGTTCTCAGGAAAGTGTAGCTTTGCCAAAGCTGACTGAGTAAGAGTGACGAGGTCTTGCTGTGTCAATGACAACAAAGAAGAAAGATAATGGTAAAACTGGTGGAGTGGTTTTTATCAGCTAAACTACCTGCTGAACATGTGTTAATTCTTCAAATGCGTTTACCTTTGTTTGATATGCACCTAATGACAAAGATACGCGCGCAGGTGCAAAACTTATCGTTTGGCAAAAATGGGCAGACGGCAAATAACCAGAGAGCTCGCGCTCAGAGAGTTTGATACCGGCACAAGTGAGTAATATTGAACAGTTTCCTATTTTGTTTGATATTTTTAATTCTTTATAAACCAAGCACAGAGGATAAGGGCGTATTGCAAAACAGCAGTAGTTCACGTATCTCGCTTTATCTATTAATCAATACTCTCAAATTTCAACTGTACAAGTTCTAGTTCTCTATATCAGGACCAAGCAAAGTGTAGTCAAATCACTACGCTCATGAGTTCCTGCACTGTTATTTGATTTCGAAAAAATAGTTTTGAACAAAGGGCAAAATGAAAGGAAATACTACATGTTTTGTAAACAGTACTCTGCAAATTACGAATTGTAAATTCTTAATTATTGCTCTGTCATATTCAGATTTATGTGATCTTATATTGCAATAATTAAAGTCCGAGGAAAGATAAAAATACAACAATGGGTTTAACTATCGTCTTCTCATTTTCCTGGTCCTAACTCTCCTAAATGTGTACCTGGTGTTTTGTTTTCTCTTAATCTGTTTCAATAAAAAATGTATAAATTTTCAGGACCAAAATGTAAACTAAATCACCAATATTACAATCAGAAAATCAATTTTTTAAAATAAACTTTCCATTCTAACTCAGAAATTAAGAGTAGAAATGAAATAAAAAGGTAATTCGTTTAATAATGGAAAAAAGATATGACAGCGATGGCAGTGAACGACAATAGCAACGTCTTCACAGAAATAAAAAACAAAGATCAGTATAGAATTATACGAAATTGTCATGAAATCATTTATTCAGACATATTTCTTCCTCTGCCTCCTTATGGCTGAGTTCATACGAGTAACATTAGGAGGTTATAAAGGTGATAGTTCAACGCTGACTTTGAAATCAAATTCTGTGGAGAATAACTAGGAACATGGATTACCCCTTTACACCCTAGCATCAGTGTCAATATTCTCCATACTCTTCTCTATACATTTTCTTGGTACTGACAAGGATAATTTGTTTAACAATCAAGAGCTTCTTTAGTTGGTGATCATTTCCTTTATTCTCGTGACCTTTATGTGTGACTCGGAGGTGATATTGTTAGGAGAAATTAG